CCTCCTCTCCTTCCCCCTCTTCCTCTTCTTCCCCTTCTTCTTCTCCTTGCCCTTCCTCCCCTTCTCCTTCTTCCTCTCCTTTATCATCTCCTTCTCCCTTTCCCCTTCTTCCTCTTCCTCTTCTTCCCCTTCCTCCTCTCCTTCTTCCTCTTCTTCTTGCCCTTCCTCCTCTACTATCTCCTCTCCCTTCCCCTCTTCCTCCCCTTCTCCTTCTTCCTCTCCTTCCCCCTCTTCTTCTCCTCCCCCTTCATCTTCTCCCTCTTCTTCCACTCCTTTAACTTCCCTTTCTCTTTCTTTCTCTTTCCTATCTCCTTCCTTATTGTTTCCCTCCCCCTCCTCCTCCCCATTCTGCTCCTCTGATGTGTCTTCTCCTCCCTCTTCCTCGTCCCTCCCCTCTTCTGGTTCTTGTTCCCCTTCTTCCTTCTCTTCCTCATCTTCATTTCCTTCACCCTCTGGTTCTCTTTCTTCCATCTCTTGGTTTCTTTGCTCTCGGCTTCCTTCATCCCTCTCCATCTTCTCTCTTCCCTCAGCCCCCTTCTGCCCCCCTTCCTCCTCTTCTAAGCCCTTCTCTTCCATAACCAAGATGTGCCTTTCTCCCGTCCTCTTTCTTGTCTTCCTCTCTGGTTTGTCCTGCACCCTTTGCCACTGTTCTGTTCCTAAACTACCCTTCTCACAGATTTGATTCCTTTCACCCTGAGATCCATCCTGTACCTCTCCCCCTGACTCTCCCTCACTTTCACTCACCTCTTTTTCTGTACTGACATCTGGCAGGGTTTCTGTTTTCTCCTCCTTTCCTTCTCCTTCCAATTCCACATTTTTCTCTTGTACCTGAACTTTTTGCTCCACTACCGCATTTCCTTCTGGGTCCTCTGGTCCTTCCTGCTCCTCTGGTATACCTGACAAGTGGTCATACTTAAGATCGTATTTTGCAGTGAATATGGCTGCTTTGGGTTCGCTCTCACTCTCTTGTTCAGCACATTTCCTGCTGTACCATAGGCAGTGCTCAGTTTCCACTTCATCATCATCTTTCTCGTCACTACTAGTTTCTACTGGCTTGGGCTGCTCCAACACCTCAGCTCTGCCTGGCTGACTTTCTCTTTCACATTCAATGTAACTGTCTGGTTCTTCTACCACTTCTGTTTCACTGTCAAAGATCAAATTCTGCTCATTGCTCTTCATTTCCTGAGCAGTATCTTTACTCTCTTCACTCTCAGAATTCATGTCTTTGTCTTGTAAGTCATCGATAAATGGATCTGATTTTGCACTCTCTTCCCCGTCTACGATATCATTCACATCTGTTATCTCCATCACCTCGGTTTTCTTCTCAGGGGCTAGTTCTTCAATACTTTCCTGTTCTAGTTCCTCTTTTGGTAAAACCTGTGCAGTGTTGACCTGAGGCCCTGCCTGGTCTAGGCCATTACCTACTTCCTCATCTGAAAATGCTCCCATAATCTCGGTTGGTCTTATCATGAAGATCCCTTTTGCTAGATACTGCTTGTATACTGTCCCTTCTTTTATTTTTGATATCTCTTCATAACTATCAACATTTTCAGTACAAGGTGTACTTTCCATCACTTCCTCTGTCAAGTCTTGATTCTGTAAAAGTTTTTGAAGTAACCATCAAACTATTATTAATTGGCAAAGACATCAAAGTTATATAAATCACTGTACAGATTTTACATTTGTATCTATACCAGCTAGGGAAGGCTCACATTCCAACTTTATAAATTATTAGATTAAATAAACTATTAAAACATGAGTCATAAATTAACAAGCTAATAGAAACAGGATAACAAATACAATCAATTTTACTCACTCAAGTAGGCCTGACAGAGCCTAACATAAAATCAGCATGTGAAATATGGGTTGCACATCCGTTTAAAGAGAAGGGGTTCCCATTGCTACTGTTTCTAGGTCTGCTCTTTAGAAAGTTTTGAAATTTGAATCCTAAGAGAGACAGTCCCAACATCCAGAACTTATTTCTAATTGCATGTGCCTTTCTTTCCCCAACAATCCAGAAAACTTCAAGCCTAGCATCTAAGACATTGGAAGGAGAGACACAGGAAAGATGGCGGCTTGAGGCAGAGTAAGTCACTGAGGTAGTGGGCACTCATGCTCAGCCAGCGTGTCAAGAGACCAGCTCTCCCGTGTTCAAAGACATGCTGTCACTCGCTGTGTCTTGTACTTCTAGCGTGCTACCTATACCTTTTTATAATTCAGCAAGATCTTCCTACATTTTATAGGATCTGGTTTTAAGAATTTTAACCTAATTATATAGCAAAGGCAGTAGAAACATCAAATGATTTCCAAAGCCAAACCTCAAAGTGAATTGCTTGACTTTAGTAACTTCCAAATACCTCATATTTTTATTTCATTGGCCCCTAAAGTCAGGAGAAGCAAAAATAATGAATTTATCATTTATCTGGGTTTGTGGAAATCACATGCTGTTTTTTATTCCTGACATTGTTATGAACTAAAGTGCCTCTTTTTTACTCATCTATAGCTGCTTACTACTTTCCAGCTTTTATTTAAATCACACTTTATGCTAATCTTCCTTAATAAAGTCCAGTCTAAATATTGTAAAATGATTATCAAACACTTTACACTAAAAACAATTCACAAAACTTTAGAGCTAGAAAGATGTGACCATTATCCAGCAAAGTCTCGTAGTGACTCACGCAGTCATATACAGCCAAATTAAGGGCTACAGTCGATAAATAGCAGCCTCTTCCCTCAAGTTACAGCTATGATGACTATTACTTGGCCAAAAAGAATTGTCATAACTTAGGTGAATAAGTGGATGAGCAAATTCTAGCAGTGAAATTCTATGAGAAAATATATACCAAGAAAAGAAAGCAAACAGAAGTCATCTACATTAGATTCCTGTCTTTGAAATTTTACTACAAGTGAATGATTACCTTTTTGTCCTCTTTACAAAAAATTTCAAAGAAAGATAATTAAAACTGTTCTGACCTACCACAATAATTCTACTACTAATAATAACTCTATATGTGCTATACCTTTTGTTTTTGAATTGGTGAAAATTTTAATGATGTCTCACTGGAACTCAGGTCCATCACATGTGTCTGAAATAAATAAAAATATATGTTGTAGATAAAATGGAAAATTATATATGAATAATAAATGCGAAGAAACTCAGACATTACTACAATCTATTTACAACTGCCAACTAATGATGTCAAGACAGAAAAGCTGCCGAGACTCAATAAGCCTGATACTCAAGATTGCTTAAAACAATCCGATATCTTTCAGCTTCTCTCTAGTAGAAGCAAAACAGGAGCCCTTCCTACTTGTTTAGGTGGATGGAGGGGCAGAATGTGATACTGTAGTGGCCTTCTTAGAGATGGCTGGAGCATGGGAACAAAGTTGTGAGGAAGGAGGTGTCCCAAGACAGTTGCATGGTAGTTGGCAGGGGAAAGAGTGTGTTAAAGGATGGGAAGAACGAGAGACAAAAATGCCTCAGGGAGCGCCACTAGTGCAGAATTTTGTAGTGAGGCTTTACCGAAATCCTAGCATGAGCTAAAAGATTTTTAAATTTAGCCTTTGTAGGCCTAGATTTAAAAAAGATAAAATCATTTATTTATCCAACAAAATACTATGTCTCATGACATTTCCGTACATGCAGTGTGAATTTAAGCCACACTTCCTACTCTACCACCCCTTCTCACCCCTACATAGTTCTCCTTCTGTTTTCATGTCAGAATTTTTTTCCAGTCAAGATTCCACGCATGAGAGACAAAATGTGGTATCTGTGTGTCTGAGTCCATAAGCTTCTATTTGGTTTCCTTGTGCTGTGGCACTGATCTCCACCCACTAAACAGCTTCAGGACCATAAGAAATTACACTGTGGGCTGCGGAAGATGCAGTCTAGATAAGACAAGAGAACTCAAATCACATGGGAAACTCGTTCTGGAGGATTTATCTGGATTTCCAAGATTACTATCAGGGTGCTGCAACTGGGGAGCCATCCTACAGTGGGTCTTACTAGCTAAATTTAACTGCTCTGAGAACTGAAGGTTCCTATCTTCCTATCTTTGCAGCCATATTGTGTAGCAATTTCCTCCTGATTGAACCATTCTATCTTGAAGGGAAGCTTGCTAAGATTTAGGAAGTAGACAAATCACAAGTGTCAAGAAGTCACTGAAACATGTAAGCTTCATTGGCAAAGTCCCCCCTTCCAGGTTATATAATCAGTAAGGACTACTGGTGAGAGGAGACTCTCTGATCAGCTGAGTTGCCTTAAAGGTATACAGGGGGTTTCCAAGGAGGTATGTTTTGGGCAGCATCACACATTCTAGGATAGGATTTTCAGCGATAAGATTTTCATAGATGACCTTAGAGTCATCTATGCACTTGTATGCAACCCCTCTCACATTCCTGTAAGTAGCCCGCAATGAACCATAGGCTTATCAAGTTGGACTTTAGTGGCATTGTTAATTTGGTCTGTTGTTAGTTCCCTGTATAGGATGGACACATGCTTGTTTATGTGTCCCAAACAAAAGCTGCACAATAGTTTCGAAGCAATATTGCATGAGTTTGGTAGGTAACAGCCTAGAGACAGGTTGGCCTGGAGGAAGAAATTCTGACACAATCCTCCAGAGAATTCTGTGCAGTGGGAAATTAGAATGCAATGCTGAGTGGAAAGGAAGGTGTTTTTTTGAAAACAGGAGACTCAGGAATCCAACTTTCAGAAACTAAAGCAAAGAATTGTATAAGATTCTGCATGATAGTCGTGTGTGTGTGTGTGTGTGTGTGTGTGTGTGTGTGTGTGTGTGTGTGTATACAGAGAGAGTGGGCTTACCAGACTGATATTGTGCACATCATGTCAAAACTTACAGATCACTGCCAAATATTCCACACAAACACTTTAGCAGGAAGTCCAATTGTAATTAAACTCAACACTACACAACAACCTGATACCTCAAATGTATACCAGAAGGAAAGGGGTGCTAAATAGGAGTATCTCACATAATAGTGTTTTACGCATCCATTCCAACAAACATACAAATCTCAACATAGAAGCACACTATGAAGGCTGTGGCCTTTAGGCCATCCTAAGTTCAAATCCAGGTGGTGGGATTACAGAGTGAATTCTAAGACTGAACAGTTACAGAATGAGACTGCAATCTCAACAAACAAACAAGCTATAAAAGGAAACACTTGATTCCATTTAAAAACAAATCAATTAAAATAAGAGATTTATTAAGTTAAAGATTAGAGAGAATGGAATAATGATGCATTTCAATTCATATAAAAAATAATTGCCAATCAAGATTATCATACCTAGTATGTGGGTTAGTTTTATGTCAACTTGACACAAGCTAGGGTCATCAGAGACGACAGTCTCAATTGACAAAATGGCTCCAGAAGATACAGCTGTAGGCAAGCCTGTAGGGCATTTTTTAAATTAATGATTAATGTGGAGGAGTTCAACCACTGTGGGTGGAGCCACTGCTGGGCGGTGGTCCTGGGTTCTATAAAAAAGCAGGCTGATCAAGCTATGAGGAGTAAGACAGTAAGCAGCATCCCTCCATGACCTCTGCATCAGCTCTGGCCTCCTGGTTCCTGTGCTGCGTGAGTCCTTGCCCTCACTGCTTTTGATGACAAACTGTTATTCGGGAACTGAGTAAAATGTGAAATAAACCTTTCTTCCAAAGTTGCTTTTGGTCATGGTATTTCATCACTACAATAGTAACTCCTAGCAAGGTTATCCTTCAAATTCAATGGAGAAATAAAGACCTTCCAAGATAAGTTTGCACCAATGTAAGCCATGACTAATAGACCAGAATCACAGAAGACAATTAAAGCAATCCTACACCTAGAAGAGAAAGGAGACCAAACACAATCATGAGAGCACTGAAAAGAATACCTCTCACTGTGAGACTAGTCATACAATTGAGAAGCAGTTAGCCGCCACTTCTAGGATGAGAGGAAGACACGCTAAGGCAAGAAGAAATAAACAAAAATTTCGGAAAGAACTAAATCAGTAACATATACACACCTTTCGATAATAACTTGAATGTAAATGGGGTTAATTTACCAATCAAAAGACACCAGTTGGGTGACTGTATTTGAAAACAATGAGCAATATACTTTAGGCAAAGAACTGCATCAAGAATACATACAGAGAACTGAAAGAGGTGGAAATTTATTTCAAAGTGAATGGAATCTGAACATAAGCAGGAGTAACAATACTAATATCTAACAAAATATGCTGAAAGCCAGAATTAGAAACCAAGACTGTCACTACTTATTGATCAAGGGAATTATACATGAAAAATACATTAAACACATATACATACATACATAATTCACCAAATACTGAAGTGTTCGATTTTATGAAAAAAATACAACTATAGGGAAAGGGAAAGATGCGCTCCAAAACAATAATAGTGGTGACTTCAGAGATGTATTCTTATCCAAGAAAAAAAGCAACACAGTAATGTTACATATGTTTCAACAGATGTAGAATGCACATTTCTTGACATCAGCATATGGAACATTTTCCAAAATAGACCACATGTAAGACCATAAAGGAAATTTTACAAAATTCAAACACATTTTAATTTCTAACATATTATCAGACTACATGGAATAAAAAATAATAGAAATCAATAGAAAGAAAAACTATAGCCATTACATAAACACATGGAAGTCAAATAATAGTTTTCAGTGAATATCAGACCACTGAAAAATTCAGAAGAGGTAAATTTAAATGGAGTACTACTCAGCGGTAAAAAGCAATGACATCTTAAAATTTGCATGCAAGTGGAGGGAACTAGAAAAAAAAACATCCTGAGTGAAGTAACTACTCAGATGAACAAGGTATGTACTTATTTATAAGTGGATACTAGCTGTAAAGCAAAGGATAACAAGCCTATAGTCCATGACCCTAGAGAAGCTAAGTAACAAGGTGAACCTTAAAAGAAACATATATAGATCCCTCTGGGAAGGGGAAATAGACAAGATATCCTGAGAAAATTGGGAGCATGGGGGTAGGGGGAGAAAGGAGTTCAGAAGGGGAGGACTGGAGAAAGGGAGCAGGGAGGAGAACTTGAGGGAATGGGATAGTCACAAAGGATGAAGGACAGAGATGAGAGCAAGGAAAGGGATACCTTGATTGAGGGAGCCATTATGGGGCTAGCAAAAAACCTGGCACTAGAAAAATTCTCAAGAATCCACAAGGATGACCCCAGCTAAGACCCTAAGCAATAGAGGAGTGGGTGCCCGAACTGGCCTTGCCCTGTAGTCAGATTAATGAATATCTTAAATGTCACCAATGAACCTTCATCCAGCAACTGATGAAGACTGGGGCAGAGACCTGCAGTGGAGCACTGGACTGAGCTCCCAAAGCCCAGTTGAAGAGTGGGAGGAGTGAGAGTATGAGCCAAGAGGTCAAGACCATGAAGGGTTCACCCACTGAAACAGTTTACCTGAGCAAATAGGAGCTCACCAACTCTGGTGAGAAAGGGAAAGAACCAGCATAGGACCAAACTAGTCCCTCTGGATGTGGGTGACAGTTGCATGGCTGGGGCAGACTTCAGGGCCACTGGCAGTGGCACCAGGATTTACCCCTAATGCTTGTACTGGGTTTTTGAAACCCATTCTCTTTGATGGATACCCTGTTCAGCCTAGATATAGTAGGGAGGGCCTTGGTCCTTCCCCAAAGCAATGTGCCTTACCCTCTCTGTGGAGTAGATGGGAGGGTGGGGTGGGGGAAAAGGTGGAGGGAATGGGAGGAGTGGAGAGTGGGAACTGGGATTGGTATGTAAAGTAAAAAAAAAAAAGATACTTTGTTTTCTTTTTTAAAAAATAAATTAGTAAAATATATGAAAATGGAAAGACAATATGCCAGCACCTGTGGGCTACAGAGAAAGCTGTACAAAAGGGGATGTGGATGGCACTGAGTGAAGAAGTACACACTCAGAACAGCCAGAGAGATCACAAAAACAATGTATTTCAGGGTCTTAAAAAAACCAAAGCAAAACCCAAATCAGTAGAAGGAAAGAAATGATACACAATAAAGATCATATCAGAAATGAATTAAATGGAGATTAAAAGATCAGCATAAAAAGTCAATGAAACAAAGAGCTACATCACTGAAGCATAAATAAAATGGACAACACCTTAGTTAAACTAACCAAAGAGAAAAATAATCCAAATGCATAAAATAAGAGATAAAAACGAGACAATGTGGAGAAAAAGAAACACTTAAAACTCTTAGTAGGAATGTAAACTAGTATAGCCATGATGTACAGTACATAGGTTTCTCAAAAGCCAATAATAGAGCTATTTAATATTTAAAAATAACTATTTAAACTATTACTAAATTACTAATTATTAAATATTACTAATTATCAAAAATATTATTTAAAAATAATCTAATTCTACTATTTTGGGGTTTATATGTGAAATAAATGAAGTGAGCATACAAAAAAAATACCTGTAAAGACGGGAGGGGGTAGCACATGCCTTTAATCTCAGCACTTGGGAGGCAGAGGCAGGTGGATCTCTGTGAGTTTGAAGCCAGCCTGGTCTACAGAGCGAGTTCCAGGACAGGCTCCAAAGCCACAGAGAAACCTGTCTCAGAAAACCAAAAACAAAAAAAAAACAAACAAAAACCCTGTACACACCCATGTTTAGTGCAATAAAAATCATTAGTTAAGTTATAGATTCTGTCAACAGATGAATAGATAAAGAAAAATACACATACACTCTCTCTCCCTTTGCCCCCCTCTCTGTCACACACACACACACATAGACACACACACACACCCCAGAGTGTTTAATTCAGCCATAAAGATTAATTAACTCATGTCATTTTCAGGAAAATGGATGTAACTGTAGGACACAGGTTAAGCAAAATAAATGTAACACAGATCAAATATTATATGTTTTCTCTCATAGACAGAAACTAAAAAGGAAAGATGACCTAGAAGCAGAAGGTGGATTGTTAAGGGAAGGGGAGGAGCTGGCAGAGGGGAGTAAGCATAGGGAAAGATGGGTCAAAGGGAGGGTACACGAGATCAAAGTTTGACTTATAAAGGTATGGAAATGTCACAGTGAAACCCATTGATATTAGCATGTACTATTAAATATTAGCAAAAATCAGCATTTTACACATAAAAGAATATACAAAGAATATACACTCAAATTCATGGGGAGCTAAAATTCACATAACTCCTATCTAAATAGACCGAAAGTAATTACCATATTTAAGACATCAGTAGTTTCACCAAGGTTTTCTGAATCCACTGCTGAAGAATTTTCTGTCTCTGTCTCTTTGTTCATTTTATCTTCAAAATAATCTAAATGAATAAAAGCAAAAAGTCAGGCTTAGATCTAACAGAAATGAAAAAAGCAAATGAACCAAAAAAAAATCACTCTATAATACATCATGGGGTATAACTGCATCCAAGGCCTTCTAATCTTGTGATTAGAGATGAACAGTAGTCATTCATAGTAGCAGCACATTTTCAAATCTCACACTGAGAGTTTACTGTACTGACAAATATGTAGCAAGAGCTTCATTCACAAGGACATGCAAACAGTAGTCCTTGGAAGAAAACCTTCTCAGGTGAGCTGTCTGTATCAAGCACTGCCAGCTAGTCTTAAGACAGTCCCAATGACCCCACTCCCCTGCTATTCTTACCAGTGTGGCTCCCTTGCATATGATATGGGGCTTGAGTTCTATGTGCATCATCAACTAAGTAAAGTGACCATAACTGGGCCACAACTGGAGTTTCTTAGTCACACATGTGTGCTTTATTTCCATATTGTGAGCATTTCTATGAAGAAGCCTATATGGCAAAGATGTGAAGTGCCCTGCTAATGACTGCATGAATGAGCTGGGAGTCCACTCAGCTTCCAGACACTACCATCCCATTCAAAGGCGCTAGTCCAGGAAAGCCTGAGCATGAAACACTCAGTCTAGCTGCTCTTGGAGTCTTGATTCCCGGAAGTTGTGTCAAACAACAAATATCTGTGATTTTGACCTGCTAAATTTTGGTCATTTTTAAATGTAGTCATGAAAAACTAGTATAATCACTTAGAACTAAAAAACTGGTAATATCACAAACCAGAAAATTCCAAATCCATTTGCTCTATTGGAACTTTTAGTTTTGTCTGCCACTGTGCCCTTTTTGATCTGATCATATATTATGAAATCTCTATTAAAAATGCCAGTATACACTCATTACTTTGTTTTGAATCCTTTCAATTGATTGTAATTGAATGTAAATGAATAATTGTTCATTATACACTCCTTCCATATGAAACAATATGTAGAGAAAACTAAAATATAGTAATTATTTCTGTGTTTCAATTATCTATATTTAAGATATAAGGCTGGTGGGGTGTGTGTGTGTGTGTGTGTGTGTTCATTAACAAACAGTAATGTAACTGTTTATCCTTAATGAATTCATGCTCTAGAAGGGATGTAGAACATAGGATACTGGATAAAGAAAGATTTCACTTGTATGGTATATGCAAGGATGTGTAGAATTCTGAGAGGTAAAGTTATAGGTGGAAGGGGAAGAAAATCAAGTCCAATACTAACAACACAAAGAAGCAGAGAGAGACCCAAGAAAACAGCTTATGTTGAAGAATTCCCACATGTTCAAAGCATAGACTTTAACCTATGTTGGGTAAATCCCACAACAAAGAGAGGAAAGTAGCTTCATTGACTCTTCTGGTGCTCAGTTCCTGTCTCAGTTCTGTCTGACTCTGCAGTCCATGCTCCTTTCAGGAAGTTAAACTGAATCACTCAGTGTGAGCAATAGCAGGCACCGTAAGTTAACATCTGAGGCTGTGTTGTGAAAGTTTCAGATTGTAAGTAAGAACAGGGACTATACGGCTATCCTTGATATCTCAAACTTTCAGAAAAGATCTTATTACTCTGTGTGTGTGTGTGTGTGTGTGTGTGTGTGTGTGTGTGTGTGTGTGCACAAATGTGGGCAGAGGCTAGAAAAGAGTATCTGGTTCCACAAAGCTGAAGTTACAGGTGGTTGTGAGCCATCCAACATGGACGCTGAGACGTCAACTCAGGTCCTCTTCAGGAGAAAAGTACTCTTAACTGCTGATCTTCCTCTCCAGCCACCAACCTCTGACATTTTGGCACGAAAGCAGCCACTCACAATACATGAAGGAGCCAGGATAGATGGTTTCCATAAATTTCCACTTACAAAAGTAGGACACTAGCTAGATTTGGCTCATGGGCCATCGTTTGTTATCTCCTAACCTAGATGAATCCTATAAGGAAATAGTATTGAAAGATGAAGCTAGAAGAACAGGTGGGGCTCACATGGGAGATTTTATACTTATTTTTATAAAAATGAGGAATCCTTCACAGGACAAAGAACAGGTAGGCATTATACTGTACCTTAAAAATAATGGGGAAACTGTCACAAAAGTGTAGATTAGAGAACCAGAGAATGTAGGTTTGGAAAACATATCTGTTTATTTTGCCTCAGGTTCGATTGAGATAATGTATGTCAACAGACCTGATCTACTTTCTGTTACCACCTTCTCCATCTCCCCCCATCTATCTGTCCATCAATGTATCTATACATATTTGTATCCAACTTCTCATTTTTCTGTTACAGTGTACTGTGTCTTCCCTGCTATGAAGACTGTTGTGTATCCCAGCCTCCCCTGTGCTACCATGCTCTCCTGGACTACTGGCTCACTGCATTGGCTTACATGTGGGATTCCGTTGTGTCCCACACTGGTCTCACAATCCCTCCAGCAGTCAGCCCACTTCTTTCGGCGGCCTCATAACCAAATAGACAAAATAATGATCTAGAGAGCTTAGCTCCTCCTCACTCCCTCATTCTCCTTTCATGCCTCAACTCTAAGCACTCTGGCTTCTGCCCAGATCTTGCCCTAGAGCTTCTCAGGTTGACGTTGCTGGTGTTTTCCATGATGCCAAATCTACTGGGAACACTGTCAGCTCTTTTGTGCTTTCAAATTACTACTCTCTCAAGTATTAATTTCTTGAATCCATTGTTCCTGACTAAAGTTGGTCCTTCTAAATGACAGCCTGACTTCCCTGCACTCCGCAATAACCCAGAAGTGTAATTATCTTAAAAGGTCAAGTGGACTGGAATACATCAGGTAAAAACACCATTAGACTGAAGAAAACTATTCAGCCCTAATAAGTATCTTCTAATCTATGAAATGAAGAATATTTTTCTTACCATTTCTTTTCCAACAACATACTCACCTGAATTCCCACCCCCATCTTCTAATCACACTTCTTTCCTTTTCTAAGGCATTACCTTCAAATCTTTGTCTATATTTTCTTTGTTTGGGATGCATATATTCTAACTCCTTGGAATACCTTACTTTTAAATTAAATTTAGTTATAAAACGTTTAGTTTAAACTTTAGACGAAATTCTTATTGACTCTAGCTACAAAAGTATAGAATTACATACCACTCCACACTGAAATCTCCTGAAGTGTGAAATAACTTTCCTACGCTCTCTTTCAACACACTCTTTGGCACAATCTGCTACTATTTTCAACACTCTAAAATTTTTTTGAAATTTTTATTTTTGAGAATCTCAAACATGTATGCAGTAAAATATGATCATCTCGATCCAATACATCACCCTCTAATCCTTTCCATGCTCCCTCTCAGCTTCATAGCTTTATGTTTAAGGCTAGACTGACGCTGAAGCTTATGTCAAAGCGAGCCCCATGCGAGGTGCATGCTACTAGCTCATTTCTCATGTCTGCTTATCATGCCCTGTCCATGGCCTGCTCTTGCCAGGGTCCCTGGCTCTTTACTAATTCAGTCATTTGCCTAGATTCTTCAAAGATATAAAAGTCATCTCTGCCATGCTTTATCCTCAACCCCCAGGTTTCATTTTCAATATTATTGGTGTATGTGTGCATGTGCGCGCGCGTGCGTGTGTGTGGTGTGACATGTGTATATGGGTACTGCATCATATGGCATGTGTGTGAGGGTCAGAAGACAAGTTGTGGAGTCAGTTTTCTCCTTCTACCTGTATGTGACAGCCAGAAATGAGCCCCGGCCACCAGACCTACACAGCAAAGGCGTTTAACCTCTGGGCCACCTCACCTGCTTCTGTTTCCTATTTTAGTCCTCAAAATACTGTTTTTCTGAGCTCTTAGTCATGAGCTTATATTCAGGTATACATTAGTAGTAATGGACACATTCTCCTAAGATGCACTAATATCTCCAAATAAAGCTATGTAGAAGAGGCGCACAATAGTCGGCCATTTCTCTTTTAACCTTAAAGTGGGTTCAAGAGATCAAATTCAGGTTCTCACTCATACCTAGCAAGGGTCTTTATCTTCTGTGTCATCTTGTCAGATATTATTAAACACATTTCAAAGATAAAGAACCCAGGGTGTTGAAAAATGAAGATGGTCCCAGAGTTTAGAAGGCGCAGGCCTAGCATGCGATGGAGAGGAGCTGACTACATAACTGACGCTGAGGCACGTGAGCACAGCGGCGCACCGCACTGCAGCACAGACTTCTATTGACACTCTGTCCAAGCTGTCCACTGGTGTCGCCCGCTGAATGGAGGAAGGTCACATCTTCTCTTTGAGCCTTGCTTTTCTTAACCATAAAATAAAGACTTTTCCCACCAAAGTCAATGGAATTTGCAGGCCTAGAACGATTCTTTGTGTACTGCCCAGTGCTCCATAGAGTTGCTGCTACGGTGAGTGGTATAAGGAGTGTACAGATTTCCGCTCCAGCTAGAAATGCCACACTCTAACTACAGGGAAGATAATACAGCAAACTGTAAAATACAGGTGTTTCATTTCTTTCTAGTTCTGGGAATGAGTCTCAGGGCCTTACCCACACCAAACAAGTACTCTGATTATCCCACCAGCCTATGTCCTGGCCCATAACCATAAACATGAGAGGAGCGCCAGTCCCATTTTCACTGAGAGCAGACCAACCTTACCTGAGTCCAGTGGTTCCACCGAGTCAGAGGGGCTTTGCTCTGAGAAGTTATTCAAAGACAAGCGGAAAGGGATTGCACTGGGGGAAAAGAAACCAGTAGAAGTAGAGGCAGAAGTTCCCTCTAAGGGAGGCAGTGCTCCCACCACTGAAGCAGAGCCTGGTGGTCTCTCCTTTAAAGAAAGGTTAAACAAACTGTCAGGTGATCTTATAGATAATAGCTGCATACACTTTCCTGTAGTTACTGAAAATATTGAAGAGAAAAAGCCTTCAAGTCTGCCAATGTTCCACAACTTGTGCATAAGCATTCCCAAGACCTCAAAAGCCTTGTGCTTCTGTCTTTGTATTGTCGGTCCCCTAAATTGTCTCTATCGAAGTCTATAAGTCTATTTTTTATGTTAGGGAGTGTGTTTGTGTTTCAGCTGTCTACCCTGAGAAACAAAAAGTTGTTCATAAGAAACAACTATTACCACAGGCTGATGGGACAGTCTTCATTATTCCATATATATTGTTTCATAATAAAATACGGACATAACTTCAAAAGGAATACATCTTAGAACTTAAAATAATTTTCAAAGCTTTTAAGTATTTAAATATTTTCATTTTAAAGACATGCAACTTATATAGCAAATTTGAAGCATAGAAGAGAGTCTCTAAACATAACTAGTAGGAAACATTCTGTCTCCAAGTGAAGGACTTACTTCTTTGTTGCCCATATTTCATTATTTATAGACTATAACCTTCCATTGTTTAGGAGGTTTAACAAAAAGAATGCAGCCATTATGCTAAATATTAAGTGCCCCATGCCAGCTGTACAATAGAACACTATCTCTTATACTAATACTGTGGTGTATATTCTTAAAGCCATGTTACACGGATAGAAATGTTCTTGTCACAGTATTACCAAAAAGAAGCATGTAACAAACAGTCATCATATATCAACATACAGTTTAAGGAAGGATCAAGGGATTACTTACTTTGAGCTAAGAAAGATCTATACGAAATGTGCTGCATGTTTGATAATGATCTATAAACAAAGGTTCTTCATGATAATTTAAATTTTCCCATTTGTATTCTTTAATATCAACTCCGAACTTATGTCATAATAAGTTTAAAAGCCTTTACCCCTGATCATTTTCATTTTAAAAGACCCTCCCTTAAAAAGAGAATTGTTGCTATTTTATTTGCAGTGGTTGACAGCGCTTATCACACACACTAGACCACAACTGTACCCGCTCTCTTCGCCGCAGACGTGCCGATAAAGATCTATTCAGTGGAGTTCCTGGGGTGAGGTCAGTGGTGGACATAGAACCTGTACTTAGGTAAGGTTCATACATTTCTTCAAATTCAGATTCATCTATTGCACTAAGTCGTGGGGTGGCAAAAACTATCATGTGACATCCACCACAGGCAATCTGCAAGTGTAAATCCACAGAAAAATTGACCAATGCTAACATCAAACACAAATGGGCTAACAGTTATCAGATCAGCAACAAGACATTTACTTAGAGGCAAACCTCTGAGATGGTGTGGCTCATGGCTTCTTTCTATGCATAGGTACAAGTATGCATATACATATATGTGTGTAGATATGTATACATGTACAGATGTATACATTTACATGAATTAAACATAATTCTTTAAACAGACTGAAAATTAAAACCAATCTCTTCCATCATTTACTTTCAACTTAATATAATCTAGAGAAAATGTCCTTGTCACAGGATGCATCTCATTAAAACTTAGAAAATGTTATGTTTTGATCTTTAAACATTAAAAACTTCATAAAATATCTAGAGAATAATAGGTATGTAAATTACTCAAGAATAACTAGTCTCTGACCATTATAATGATAAATATACAAAATCTGCACAGGATTGGGATCTTCAACATTCTATCATGGAAGGCAGGGGCAGCCACTAGGTACCACCCTGCTCTAAGGAACTATTGGCAGTTAACTACTACTGACGGAGAAGGGGACATTTTCTTTACTGCTGTAGCCAGTAGTGCACTGGCCATGTTCTAGCAAATAGCCTCTCATCATGTAAGCAATCCTAAATTCAGTAAACCAAAAAAAGAGATAAAGGCATGAAAGTAAGAGACATGCTAGTCGAAAAGAAGAAAGCATTGAGAGGGAGAAGGAAAAGGATATGAGACAGCAATGAGATGAACACAATCATAATACATACATACATACATACATATATGAAATTGTCAAAAATAAGATGATGTCTCCAAATCTTTCCCTTTCAAAGAACACTTTCTAAATGAAAGGCTTACAAGTCTTCGGAGGAAAATACAAGCACACTGAACAAAATAATGAAAAATAAACACACTAAGGAGTTTGAAGTAGTAAATGCTTTTCACAAAATGTTAACAAAACCCCTATGTTAATGAGTACAGTGAGAGAGAACCGAGTCCTCAGATTGCTTATTCAATGCCAGGGGATGCCCTAGAAGATGTGCATGTGGGCAACAATGAACACAGGAGGGGATACGTATGTACTTGTTTCTATGTGTATGTAAAAATGGATAAAAGTGAGGATGTGAATTTGGGAGAGAGGAGGCATGGGAAAGATGGAGGAGAAGTAATGCAAATATGTTTTAATTTTTTAATTGCAGAAGTTTGCAAATCTATCTCTGTAATAATCCTAAATATAAATGGTCTTAACTCACCAATGAAAGCCATTGAAAAAGACTCTATACTATGATAAAAATCCCCTGAAAAAAGCAACCTAGGAGTTTCTTTTAGCTTTCAGTTGCAGGTTGAGGCCCATCATAAGAGAGTCACAGTGGCAGAGCTTGAGGGAGCTAATCACATCAGGTCCATAGCCAGGAGCAGACAAAATGCATGTATGCATGCTACTTAGTGCTCAGCTTGCTCTCTCCTGTGCACACAGTCCAAGGCCCGGTCTGTAAAATGATGCTGCCAACATTCAGCATGGATTTTCAGACTTCAATGAACCTAATTAAGAAAATCCTTCACAGACACGCCCACAGGCCAACTCAATCTAGACAATCCCCGACTGAGGCTCCTCCCCAGGTGATTCTAGATTGTGTCAAGTTAGCAACTAAAACTATTGATGCAGGAGAGTCTTCTATCTACCTGTTGCTTTCATTGGTTAATTAATAAAGAAAACTGCCTGGCCTGAGAGGTCAGAACATAGATAGGCAGGGAAGACAGAACTGTATTGTGGGAGAAAGAAGCAGAGGCAGAGAGCTGCCCACCATGAAGCTGCCAGGTCAGACATGCTGAATCCTTCCCGGTAAGCCACGACCTCGTGGTGAGATATAGATTATTAAAAATGGGTTGAATCAATATGTGAGAGTTAGCCAATAAGAGGCTGGAGGTAATGGGCCAGGCAGTGTTTAAAAGAATACAGTTTCCATGTAATTATTTCGGGGGTAAGCTAGCTGGGATCTGGGCAGGAACACATTGTTCCTTATTTGCAACAAACCATCACAATTATCAAGTTAATAAAAGAAGGATTCCACAGTATGAAACACAATGCCTTTGGAGAAGCAACATGAGCACTACCAAGTAAGCAGCATTTACATGTCCATAGTTCTTAGCTGGTGAAAATACTAGAAACAATACAACAGGAAGATTGACTGATCATGAGGTGTCACTGAAAAGATAAATTCTTATCTGAGTGCTCAGCCAATAAATCATTTGCAACAGTGTTTATGTATTGTCCCGTCTCTTCTTGTGCAGGGTTTGAGAGTGCCCAACTTCCCCCAGGTCTGTTGCATCTGCCCTGTTAGCTGTGTGAGCAAGGCATTCTGCTGGGTACTTCTATATGAGACACAAAGCTTACAGGCATGGCACGCTCCAAGTTTGCAAGAGAAGTGAACATGAAGCAGAAAAAGCAGTATTTGTACAAAAACGTTGTTGAAGGAGCAAAACTGGAAACATCTAATGTTTGCCCCTTACATAACTGGTTATGGCCATTATTAGCTATAGATCTATGAAATGCTCACACAGATGTAAAAACAAGTGTTTTTATGAAATAACAAAAGTTTCAAATCTAGAAATATGAAAATATGCAAGAGGAAATGTGAAACTCTTACCAGTTGAACTGTGAATCTCAAAAAATTACAGCACAATGTAGGAAAGAATTGGTTGGTAAAATTCTCCATCCCAAGTCCTAATTTTCCATGTCGGCCATCGCCAAAAGTATACATGAGGCCTACATCTAAAATGCAAACAAAGTCAAAGTTACTTGAGTTCCATTTGTACAGATCTAGTTGTAGACTCATATCTTCACTTCTACTGCAGTTAGCTTCTCATAGAATTCTGAATTGAATTGACCCTGGCCTACTGACCTGTGCAAAGTACAGTGTTTGGTGGTTCTTTATATAAGAGCAGGCAGTGGAAATGAGAACGGAACACTAAATCTTGGTGGTCAAAGACTTGTGTGTCTGTTACACATTGTAGTCTATTTATCACTGGCCTCTGTCTACTACATGCCAGTAGAATAATTCCTTTCTGAAGCAGTGAGAATGAAAAATGTCTCCAGGTATCATCTGTCTCTCCCAGGGGTGTAAATTTGTCACTGGTGGAGAACTATATACTTAGAATACAGTTGTTTCTTTTATTAATTTGGCTTCTGGGGTGTGGGACACTGCCAAACCAATGGCTGGAGTCAATCACGCACTCCGACCAATCCCCTACTGGGTCCTATCTTGATCAGCACACGATGCTGAGCAATCCTGCCACTTCTAACCCCACCGCCACACCCTGACACTGCAGCTGCATTTAACTTCTGCGCTTCTTTGCGAGCCCCTCCTTCATACCCTGCATTTAAAGGCGCATGGTGAGTGCCACAGAACAGAGGCCGATCAGGGTACAGACGAGCGGACATTCCCTCTAGTGGGGCATTAAAGAAGGCTTTCAAAGTCAATCCTAAAAGATAGAATATAGCTCTAAGAAGGAAATAAAGCACCCTCCAGGCAGAATCAGCAGTACAAGGGAAAGCTTGTACGAGAACAGGCCAGGCAAAAGACCAGAAAGTAAGCAGCAAGCCGAATATGGAAAACTTGGAGAGATCAGAATCTAAAGCAGGAAGGCAAGACCACTACGGAGGATGAAATTTGTTTAGATTGTACATTTTTAATTCCGTTTGAAGAGCAGCAAGCTTTTTAAGTGAATGGCTTTAGGCTGGGAAATGATTAGCTCATATCTGGGGATTTCTGACTAAAGAAGGCAAAGCGGCTGTACACTGAGGGAATCTCCTGACCGTAGACTGACTTAAAGTAATAGAAGAGAATTCAGTAAGATGGTAAGTTACTCTTTTAATTTACAAAACTGAGCAAATTCCTTTAATGTGTGCTTTTCCAAGATGATTTTCTTTTGCCTGAGAAAGTAACCCTTATCTCATTTGCTTGATTGAACTTCCAAGCTCAAAGAACATTTATAAATATGAGCTATTGGTAGGGAACTGGCAAGAATTTAAGAAAACTCAATATATGTCATTGTACTAGATAAACTAAAGAGAGAAAAAAATCTGTTTCTTGAGGAGGATAGATGAGTAAAAAGTCAAATAAACTTAATATTCAGTTATTAGTGGCATAACTTTTCATCAGGCAGAAAAAGTACCATGCAAACAACTGAACAATCTATAATAAGATTCACGATTCATAAAAAGTATATTCAGCATCAGGGACAATTTAGGGTTGATGAAGAATGGCACTATGAACAGAGAAGCTAGTATTAGGGCCGCACAGCACGGGACACATATCAACAGCTCCTATGGGACATAGTGTTGTTGCATGCTACGCAAAGGAGAACATCAGTACTTGAGGACAGACAGGCCGTTTTTCTCAAAGGGTTTTGTGGGAAAGATGGAACTATTTGTGGTAGTAGCTCACGTTTTCTAAGTTCTACTTCTCGAAACAGATACCATTGCATGAGCTCTGCTCTTTTTGGAACTGTTTTGGATAGAAGGAAGGAAAACATAAATACAAGAATTTGAATTATTCAGATATACTAGAATTATTTCTGACTTTTCATGCTTTACTTTGTTTTTAGATGAAGCATTTTGTTACAAAGCATGTAAGTTTTCAAATGCATAAATTCCCTACAGTGAATGGCTAAGTCACTTCAAGGGATAATTTTATTGAGACTTACATTATCAACAGCATCTAATTTATAAGACTAAAAAATAAACAGGCCAACAGAACATCTCCTTGCGTAATGCAGAAGGCAACAAAGAGATGAATTTGCTCAGTGGTTTTTGTGGTGGCCTTCAAGAAAAGGAAGGAGTCAGTCAGTCCTGAAACGCCCCCTGGTGGTCATCACAGCGCCTTTCTCTCTCAACTACTTAGCAAAGGGAAGGAAGAAGTGGTGAAACGCCCCCTGGTGGTCAAAGCATCCTAAAATGTCGCTCAGCATGAGGACAGCTCTTCTATATTGAGTAGGTAAAGATAAGTTTTTCCTGTGTGATTTTTCTCTCTGGCTTGAGCAGAGTTTTGATACAAGTTGAAAAGATTTTAGTAACTTACTCTTCTCCAAAGGTCTAATTTAAGATTCGAAACTTGGATCATTTTTTTTTAAGGCTAGAACTGAACTCAAGGCCTCATAAGCTTAGGAACATGTGTTCCCACTGAGATATACCCAGTCCCCACATTTGTTTTCATCGGAATTATACATTTACTTTTAAACTAATTTATAACTTTGTATTTAGAATATTAAATTCCATAAGATGTTAGAAACATTTATCCCATATAACATTCATTTTATATATGAATGTTATATGGGATAAATTCATTATATATATATGGGATAAATTCATTTTATATATGAATGTTATATGGGATAAATTCATTTTATATATATATATATATATATATATATATATATACTATATATATCCAGAAATCAGAAAAATTATCTCATACCTGTCATCAAAGCTGTATGATTTTCTCCACAGGAAATATAACTTATTTTCTGATCCTTAATACGCTCAATGACTCTGGGTTCTGATGCTTCAAAAAGAAAAGTGCCAAGGCCCAGTTGGCCAAACTGTCCCAGTCCAAAGGCATACACAACTTTCTCTGGAAGGAAATGAACACATACATGAAAAGAGTTGCAAGGAGATACATCATATCTGAAATAATTGCAGGATTCAACTTTTAAAATGGGCATGAATTGTCTGTGAAAGAGCGCCAGAAAAATACTGACATGAAATGCAAACTTTCAAAGATGAAAGAAGAGAAAAATTGGGTGTTACAAAATAACTATCTGGGTATGATTTGTCTTTTATGAATAACCATAAAAGGAGTTATTACAATCATCAGGTAGGTTAAAAGAAGTATAATTCAGAGAACTCCCTGACATGCATTTATAATTATATCATCTCAGAAACTCACAAATGTTACTAAACAATTTCCATTCACTGCCACAATTAAAAACATTTCTACAAAGATATTCCCCTTTAAAAGTAGTTCAATAAAACTATTTTACAAAATATAATTTATGAACAGGAGATACAGCACTTGCCTGGCATGCACAAGCCACAGAATCTCCCTGTAAAACATGGTGGCACACACATACACACCTAATCCAAAATATAATTTTCAAAGGAATGAAAAATTATAGTAGATATGTTAATGTATTCATAAGCAAATTTTCTTTACAATACAGGAAGCCTCCCACTATATGATGATTTAGGTGACCGTTGGAGTCACCAAAGCTCCTTCAATAAATAATTCAGGAAATTTGAGGTCATTTCTCATCTAGAGAAGAGAAACTGTGAAGCAAAAAACATGGCTGACTATAAAAGAGTTACTGTAGAAACAATGTGGCTGGTCAGTGTACTGAGAAACATGCTGGTGACAACATGGCTGGTCTGTGTACTGAGAGACATGCTCTTGACAATGTGGCTGGTCTGTGTACTCAGAGATACCCTTGTGGCAATTTGGTTGGTGTGTACTGTATGTCAACATGGCTGGTCTGTGTACTGCATGTCAGCATGGCTGGACTATCATGTCACCCAGGCTGCTTAGTGTAATGAGAGACACACTGGTGACAATGTGGCTGGTCTGTGTAGTGAGAGAAACCCTGGTGACAATGTGGCTGGTCTGTGTACTGATAGATACCCTGGTGACAATGTAGCTGGTCTGTGTACAGAGAGACACATTGATGACAACGTGGCTAGTCTGTGAACTGAGAGTCATGTTGGTGACAATGTGACCAGTCTGTGTACTGAGATACCTTGGTGACAATGTGGCTGGTCAGTGTACTGAGAGACACACTGGTGACAACTTGGCTGGTCTGTGTACTGAGAGACAAACTGGTGACAACATGGCTGAACTGTGTACTGAGAGAGACGCTGGTGACAATGACGAAGGTCGCTGACTGAGAGACAAACTTGTGCAACATGGCTTGTCTGTGTATTGAGAGATACACTGGTGACAACGTGGCTGGTCTGGGTACTGTGTGTCAATGTGGCTGGGCAGTGTACTGAGAGACACGCTGGTGACAACATGTCTGGTCTGTGTACTGAGTGTCAACATGTCTGGTCTGTGTACTGAGAGACACACTGGTGACAACATGGATGGTCAGTGTACTGCACGTCAATGTAGCTGGTCTCGGTACTGAAAAGAGACACTGATGACAATGTGGCTGGTCTGTGTACTGAGAGGCACGCTGGTGACACCGTGGCTGGTGGCTGTACTGAGAGACACACTGGTGACAACGTGGCCGGTCTGTGTACTGAGAGACACACAGTGACAATGTGGCTGGTCTGTGTACTTAGAGACACACTGGTGACAGTGTGGCTAGTCTGTGTACTGAGAGACAAAATGGTGACAACGTGGATGGTCTGTGTTCTTAGAGACACGCTGGTGGCAATGAGGCAGGTTGCTGACTGAGAGACATACTTGTAACAACATGGCTGGTCTGTGTACTGAGAGACACACTGGTGACAACGTGGCAGGTCAGGGTACTGTGTGTCAATGTGGCTAGTCTGTGTTAAGAGACAAAATGGTGACAATGTGGCTGGTCTGTGTAATGTGTGTCAATGTGGATAGTCTGTGTACTGAGAGACACACTAGAGGCAACATGGATGGTCAGTGTACTGCACGTCAATGTGTGGCTGGTCTCTGTACTGAAAGAGATGCTGGTGACAATATGGCTAGTCTGTGTACTACGTGTCAATGTGGCTGGTCAGTGTACTGAGAGGCACACTGGTGACACTGTGGCTGGTCTGTGTACTGAGAGACATGGTGGTGAGAATATGGCTGGTCTGTGTACTCAGAGATACACTGGTGATAACGTGGTTGGTCTGTGTACTGAGAGACACACAGTGACAACATGGCTGGTCTGTGTACTTAGAGACACACTGGTGACAGTGTGGCTACTCTGTGTACTGAGAGACAAAATGGTGACAACGTGGATGGTCTGTGTTCTTAGAGACACACCGGTGGCAATGAGGCAGGTCGCTGTACTGAGAGACACACACTGGAGAAAAGATGGCTGGTCTGTGTACTGAGACACACATAGTGACAACGTGGCTGGTCTGTGTACTGAGACACACATAGTGACAACGTGGCTGGTCTGTGTACTGAGAGACATCCTGATGATAACGTGGCTGGTCTGTGTACTGTGTGGCAATGTGGCTGATCAGTGTACTGAAAATCACAGTGGTAACAATATGTCTAGTCTGTGTACTCAGAGACAACCTGGTGACAATGTGGCTGGTCTGTGTACTGAGAGACACACTGGCAACAATATGACTGGTTTGTGTACAGAGTGTCAATGTGGCTGGTCAGTGCACTGAGAGGAATGCTGGTGATAACGTGGCTGGTGACTGTACCGAGACACACATTGGTGACAATGTGGCTGGTCTGTATACTGTGTGTTAACGTGACCGGTATGTGTACTGAGAAACATGCTGGTGACGTGGCTGGTCTGTGTACTCAGAGATACCCTGGTGACAATGTGTCTGGTCTGTGTACCCTGCGTCAACGTGGCTGGTCTGTGTACAAGAGGCATACTGGTGAAAACGTGGCTGGTAGCTGTACTGAGAAACATACTAGTGATAACGTGGCTCATCTGTGTACTGAGAGACATGCTCTTGAGAACGTGGCTTGTCTGTATATTCAGAGATACCCTCGTGGCAATATGGCTAGTGTGTACTGTGTGTCAACGTGGCTGGACTGTTTACTGCATGTCACTGTGGCTGCTTAGTGTACTGAGACACAATGGTGACAATGTGGTTGGTCTGTGTACTGAGAGATACCCTGGTGACAACGCGGCTTGTCTGTGTACTTAGAGACACACTGTTGACAATGTGGGTAGTCTGTGTACTCATGGACACGCTGATGGCAATGTGGCTTGTTTCTGTATTGAGTGACATACTGGTAACATGGTAACTGGTCTGTGTACTGAGAGACAAGCAGGTGACTATGTGGCTGGTCTGTGTACTGAGAAATACCCTGGTGAAAACGTGGCTGGTCTGTGTACTGAGAGTCATGATGGTAACAATGTGGCTGGTCTGTGTACTTAAGAGTCACACTGCTGACAATGTGGTGGGTCTGTGTACTGAGAGATATCATGGTGACAACATGGCTGGTCTGTGTACCTAGAAACACACTGCTGACAATGTGGCTGGTCTGTGTACTGAGAGACATGCTGGTGACAACATGGCTGGTCTTTGTACTGAGAGATACCATGGGGACAATGTGGCTGGTCTGTTTACTGAGAGACATGCTGTTGACAACGTGGCTGTTCTGTGTACTGTATGTCAATGTGGCTGGTCTGTGTACTGAGAAACACGGTGGTGACAATGTGGCTGGTTTGTGTACTATGTGTCAACGTGGCTGATTGTTATACTGAGAGGCACACTGGTGACAAGATGGTTGGTCTGTGTACTTAGAGACACATTAGTGACAATGTGGCTGGTCATTGTACTGAGAGACACGCTTTTGACAACACAGCTGGTCTGTGTACCGAGAGACATGCTGGTGACAACGTGGCTGGTCTGTGTACTGCATGTCAACATGGTTGATCTGTTTACTGCATGTCAATGTGGCTGTTCTGTGTATTTAGAGACAAACTGCTGACAACGTGGCTGGTCTCTGTACTTAGAGACACACTGGTGATAATGTAGCTGGTCTGTTTACTGAAAGACACACTGGTGACAACGTGGCTGGTCTTTGTGCTGAGAGATACCCTGGTGACAACGAGGCCAGTTTGTGTACTGAGAGACACGCTGGTGACAACATGGCTGATCTGTGTACTCAGAAACACACTGACGACAATGTGGCTGGTCTGTGTATTGAGAGACATGCTGGTGACAACGTGGCTAGTCTGTGTACTGTGTGTCAACGTGGCTGGTCCTTGTACTAAGAGGCACACGGGTGACAATGTGGCTGTTCCCTGTACTGAGAGACATGCTGTTGACAACGTGGCTGCCCTGTGTACTGAGAGACATGCTGGTGTCAATGTGGCTGGTCTGTGTACTCAGAGATACCCTTGTGACAATGTGGCTGGTCTGTGTACTGAAGAACAGTCTGGTGATAATGTGGCTGGTCTGTGTACTGAGACAACCTGGTGACTATTTGGCTGGTCTGTGTACTGAGAGATACCCTGGTGACAATGTGGCTGTTCACTGTACTGAGTGACATGCTGGTCATATTACTGTCTTCTGTGGAATCTTAGGAAGGAGAACAGGAATCCCACTCTAAAGGCAGAAATGAATTTTCTCATTCTTAAATGCAGCCTGGTGGCAAATTCCTCATATCATCTGATGTTAACAACTTACCTGATAAATCCTAAAGAAATCCATCCAGGCAATTGTGAAAACATTCAGTTGTAAAGAATTCTTTTTCTGAAAAGTGTCTATTTAGCTCATCTGAGAATGAAGGGTACTGAGGAATACTTAACTATTGCCACATATTTTACATTTTTTCTCTCTAATAGAATGCCTGACGGCTGGAGAGATGGCTCAGCGGTTAAGAGCACTGGATGCTCTTCCAAAGGACCCGGGTTCAATTCTCAGCACCCACATTGCAGCTACCAGTCATCTTCAACTCTAGATCCAGGGGATCCGACACCCTCACCCATAGTATATACAGGCAAAACACCAGTGTACATTGCATAAATAAGTAAAGAAATCTTTAAAATGTTTGAAATATAAATAAGATAGAGATGAAACTCCTTACAGAAACTGTACTTGGAACAAGGGTATGAAGGCATATTGGTGCAATGGCAAGAGTACTATTTGAGTACATCATATCATGACTTAATTAGTAGATTATATCACACATTGCCTGTTCTAAGTGTACTAATTTTTCCTTCTCTGTTTTTTCCTTTATCACATTTTCTCCTTAATTTTCCCATTCAATCCCTTGGAGATGGAATTACGCAGAAATTTGTGAGCTGATCAACTCAGGTGCTGGAATCCAAACTCAGGTCCTTAACCAGAGCCACCTCTCCAGCCCCAAGTATTCCTATCCTGTCACAATAAAAAGGATTGTGAGGGTGTCATTAGCTACTAGTGAGTACAGAGAAGAGTATAGCAGGCGCCACACATACCTGTGAGAACCACAGTGTGCCCTCCACCGCAGGCTACTTGGAGCACCTTCTCAGGAATTCCTAGCACTCGCTGGGGTGATCTGTGATTGATCAGCAGCTGGTTGGGAAGACCCAACTTCCCATTCTCAGGTTCTCCAAACGTGTACAGTTCCCCGTCGGCTGTCAGAAGAAAAGGAGAAAGATTAAGGGGACATCAATGTAAACGGACCACTGGTCCTCTGGCACATGTTCTCATGCTCTCTAAAAGCTCAGCCAGTAATGAAGTAAATCTGAGCTTTCTTCAGGTATGTTTCACTACAAGGTAAGAAAACAAAGCTGGATGTTTTTTTTCCTCTCACCTATTTTATCTCGTACCCTTCAGAAAGAATTCATGACTACAGAACTAAATAATCACTTTAGCTTTTCCAGAAAATACAGCAAAAATTGTCTTACAGATTCTTTATACCTTTACGGCATGCATGTGTGTGCATATGCGTTCATGGTACCAGCGATTAAATCTGGGCCTCAAACAAGCTAGTCAAGAGCCTGACCATAGAGCAGTATTCCTTAGAAGTTTCAGATTTTCAGACTGGGTTTCATTAAGGCCTTGAACTTAGAATCCTTCTCCCTTAGCCTCCTGAGTAGCTAGAATTACAGGCCTGAGCAGCCTGGCTCAGATAGTTTGCTTTTTTAAAAAACAAACAAACAAAAAACAAAAAAAAACTTGCTCTAGAAATCTCGGTTATGTATGCAATGCATAAGTTGAATAGCTGTGAAGATAACATTTTGGTTAGATGGCGCTATAAAGTATTTGCACCTTGTCCACCCAACACTGAGTTTCTTGAAAGCAGAGACTTTCATATTCTTATCTGTAATCCCACAACTTACTTGCTGAAGCTACTAGTAATCACTACTGCTATGGGGTTGGAGGAAGCATGCCATATCATGAGGTTGTTGTTCCATTCAAAGAAACAACACAGTGACTAGAGATGTACCCAGGACACACAGGCAGTGCCTATTGATTACACATTGCTATTACACCTTCCTCTTCCTGGGTGTGGCTAAGGTGTCCAAAGATCAACCAGGGTTTGGAAAGTGGGTCTCTGGCTCAGATGCAGCATCACCTTGGTTCTGACTAGTATATGAAATCATAGAGAGCACAGCTTTCCACCACAGTTGTTAGGAGAGTGAAGAAAATGCCTTAGTAGCTCAAAATGCCTTTATTATTATTATCTTAGAGCTATAAACTTCTAAAAGAGAAGTGCTATGCTTTTATCAACATGACATTCTACAAAACACTCTTAAACACGTTTAGTATTACTTTTAGTCTTCTGACAACTGCATAGCTGTATGACCTTCTCTCACAGCCCTCCCATAAAACCTTTCTCTGCTCCACCCTGCACTCAGTTCTTTCACGGTTTGTGATCCACTAATTGCAGCCTCTTGCATGAGCCCTGGTAGAGGGTATCTACTGGAGTACTAAAAACCTAAAATGGCTATTCTACTAAAAAACCAGGGCTCCCCTCCCTCTGTAATCATTAACAGGCTTAGGGGGTGGGGCCTCTTGAGCCCCCAATCCATGACGGGCACCCATCTTCTGCAGGTCTTGTGTGAGTGACCACAGCGCTGTGACATCATATGTACAGCAGTCGCATTACGGCCAGAAGACAGCACTTCAAATACTCCTCCGTATCCTCCAGCTCTTGCATTTCCCCCTCTGATTTCTGGGATGTTCCGTACGTTTTTGAGGGGGTGATATGGATAGGTGTCCTGCTTAAGGCTGAGCACGCCGCAATCACGTTGGCTCAGCACTTTGCCTGTTTTGGGGTCTCTGAATTAACTGCTGTTCTAAGAGAATCCACTAAACTTTCATCTGGGCATCTGATGACTAATCGGTCAGTTAGAAAGAAAATCACAATCATCCTTCCATCATTACTAGCAGAGCTGTCAAATGTATATGTCAGTGTAGACACAGACTCCAACAGTTCAACACTGCCAAGCAGAGACTGCTACCGAACCCAGGAACTTTAGGCTGCAGATACTGACCACAGGACTAAGGCCTCATCCTTCATCTAATCTTCATCCCGGTTCTCACAAGAATACTCTATGACTCACTTATTTGAAACAATAAAGAAGAATTACCAAGACAGGAGGAATAGGGCAGACCAAGCACGGAAGCAAGTGACTCCAGGGGAGAGTGGCTAAGGCTAACAAGTTCGAGAACCAAAATTTAGAAAGGTTTATAAAATAGCAATCTAATTTTTATAAGAGACCTAATACTCACTTTATAAAAAGTTGACAGAGAAAATTTGAAATTATAAACTGTCAACATAGAAATGGAAAAATGTTTTGAATTAAAACATACATGAAAGACTATGCTTTCAGTGATCATTTCTATAGTTGATAAAACATAGACTATTTTAGTAGCTGAGCAACCATGTGAACTATAACTCATTTTACTAGTGGTAATGATTGAGAAATGAGAGACAATGTAATGAATCAAAACATTCATCTTACTTGTTACAAAAGCTGAATGGTAATATCCACAAGAGATCCATGAGATTGGCTTCCCAACGGTCACTTCATGAGGGATACACACATTACTTTTATTTTTTAAACCAATCTGCCCTTCAGAATTGTCACCCCACATAAAAAGTTTTCCATCCTCTATAAAGAAAGCACAAGGGAGAAAGGTCTTTAAAGGGCTAGACAGGCTCTCGAGCTATGACATTTCTTACAGACTATCATTGTCTTCTGGCTTATATTTTTAGTCTTATTTTATCTCTATTGATACATAATAACGTAGATATTTATGGAATGCAACATGATACTTAAAATGCACATATAGCATGTAATGACAAACTCAGAGTGATTTATCTAGCATTTTAAACATTTATCCTTTCCTTGGATTGAGAACACTCAAACTCTCTGCCAGCCGCTTAGAAACGAACAGTGCAGCCAGGTGTAGCAACTCATGCCCCAGAGCTCAGGGAGAAGTGGCAGGGGGATTGCTGTGAATAAAGTTATAATACACAAAAGGCCAGCTAGGTTTACAAAGTAAGACTGCCTCAAAACAAACAAAAATGATAAAAATTAACAGGAAACATTATGATATTCCTCCTTATAAACTCTAACTCGGCCATTAACACCATCTTTAAAAAAATGTCTCCACACAGAAATGGTCCCCTCCCTCCAACTTATGTCTTTTCTGATAAGGCTTCAGTGTTGGGAACAGTTAAGCTAAATGCAGGACAAGCTTATTTCAGGTTTTATCAATACTTGTTTACTTCTCTTTTTTTCTGAAAAAGCATCTTAACTATGTAGCATAGGCTAGCCATGAACTCATGACCGGCATGCCTCTGACCTTGAAGTTAAGGAGATTTAACAGTGGGACAATACCAATCAACTTCTCTTAGTGAATTAAAAAATTGATCTTCTAGGGTTTAATAAAAAGTCAAAATTAAAACTGAAAATAAAAACTGAAGGAGTAGCATTGAATAATAAACAATATTGTTGATAGAACAACACTTTTATCTCTTCTCTGAAGAAAGCTGCAAGCCAGCAGCTTCAGAGAGGTCACATGCATCATGGCTCTGACTTTTAAACAAAAGTTCTCAGATCTCATCTACTTTGAGAAGAAAGACAGAGATATGTAATGATCATTATAACCCACACTTTAATAACATACATCCCACTGATTTCTATCAATACTTCCAGTAGCAACTTTAATTAAAGTCATTAAGTGTACCTTCAGACTATGCAATGAAGATAACATTTAAGAATATCTAGCCAGGCGATGGTGGCGCACTCCTTTAATCCCTGAACTCAGGAGGCAGAGGCAAGCAGACCTCTGAGTTCAAGGCCAGACTGGTCACAGAGTGAGATCCAGGACAGCCAGGGCTACACAACACAGTTAAAACCTGTCTCAAAAAACAAAACAAAACAAAAATGAAAATAAAAGAATAGCTAAAAGAATAGATAGCTAGCGGAGTTGAGAACTTTATCAATCACCTTCTCTAATGTATTTATCTCTCACTCAACATATACAGATTTAAAGTTCTATTTCTAAAGTCTTCTGACGGCACACAAATGCTAATACCGTCACATATTTACTGAGTTCATATATCCTTAAAAGAAAAGAAGTGTCCAGAAAGAAGCACAAACAAGCCTTACCAGTTAAAGCAGCTGATGTATTAGCACCAGCAGAGAGCTGTTTAATGGAATCCTTAGATGTAAAGAAGCAAATTTGATGAAATGTGTCTCTGTCATCAGTGTCACCAAGCCCCAATTGTCCTTCATTATTTCCTCCAGCTGCATACACACTGCCTCTATCTGTACACACAAAAAATGCCAATTAACATACTGTAGTCCCCCCGCTTCTCAGACATGCTGGAGAACAGCAGATAGCGCTTTATGAACAATGAACAAAGATGAGCAAAGCTGAGAGTGGCATAGAGGAGCTGAGGCAGGGAGAGGAGCTGGGAGACAGGAGTGATGGAGAGAACTGGGCGCGGGAAGGACCAGGAAACATGGCACTGCTAACTCTTTCGCAGCGTGTGGTAAAAATACACTTTCCTCCACTGAACAGTCTTCAAATCTGTGTTAGAAAACAGTTCAGTAGGAGAGGACCTGAAAGCAGAAATCAGTTACACATACATGTGTAGGCCTGCTTCTTGACACTACTTTATTTCATTAAACTTTGTCAACACTACATTACCAGAATTACTGTAACTTTAGGATAGGGACTAGAATCAGAAAACTTCCAGCTTTTTGAAAACTGTTCTGACTATTGTGGCTCTCCTTTGATTTTCTATATAAATTTAAGAATTACTTTATCAACTTCTAGACACATTATATTGCCTCGTTAGATTCTGATTGAAACTGAGATGACTCCTATCAGGGGCATTTCCTGAGGCTTCCACTCAATCTCTGTAGCATGGAAGGAAGAGCAAGAAACAGGAGGAAGCAGCCCCAGGCGTGCTCCCAGCGAAAAAGATGCTAGCCCTTAATCTGTAGTTACTCAACAATAATTTGTATATTCCCAATGGCAAATGCATGCATGACACACTTATATTGGTAAAACTTTATTCTAACTACCACCAAAGGATCGTGCCTAGCAATTTTACCAAGCCACAAATACTGCTGAAGTGGGACACCAGTTCTCAAGGCTGGATAGAAGGCGCACAGGACGAACAGTGTACCTGTTGAAACTAGGGTGTGGTTCCTTCCGCAGGCAGCAAGCTTCACTTTTTCAGGCTTAAGAGCTAGACATGAGAATATGACAATTACAATATTTTATGGGTATGAAAATGATAAATAATCCAGGTTAATGATAAGTAACTGGGAGAACTGAAATGTCCTTCTTTATTGTACTGCAGGGGATGGAATCGAGGACTTTGAACATGTTAAGCATGTATCATCTGTAACCCAGAACGGAATTTAAAACCTAGGATAAACCTGGTATATTCACTCCAAATCAACTAATTACTAATCCAGAAGTTTATTCACAGTGCATTGTGCATCATAAAAACCTGTGGAGGGTGGCAAACAGTAAGATGTGGAGTCAAAAGTAGGGCCAAGACATCCAATTTTTAAAAACCTATAGGAAATTAATACAGCAAGAGCTAATACATTCCATTATGTTGTATCTCATCAACTTCATCTATTACTGAGCCTGCCACAAACTTCTAAGACACTCAATAAAAACCCTAAAACTAATAATTATTATAGGCACGTACATGGGTTGAAGTTGTTCATCTACAGATATTTATAGTTTTTCAAGACATGGTTTCTCTGTGTAGCCCTAGCTGTCCTGGAACTTGATCTGTAGACCAGGCTGGTCTCAAACTCAGAGATCCACCTGCCTCTGCTCCCTGAGTGCTGGGGCTAAAGCTGTGTACCACCACCACCTGGCTTCATCTGCATAATTTTAACACTTACAAATATCTCCTAAACAACTGGCAAAGCATCTGCACAGCTGGCTATGAGTCTCTGCTTCCATGGATCTCATAGGTATTTGGAAGGTCATGTCACTAGGAATACCAAGTGTTTAGTAATATGTGCCCAATTAAATACTTTCTAATCATAACATTAAAGAACCCATAATAATGCCGACAAATAGCATGGTAATGACAAAATCACACCGAAATTTTAAGCTGAAATTTCAATTTGGGTCCTGAAGCTAGAGAACACTGTTCTTACCACACTCCCAGGACTCTACACCACCTTTTTAATTTAATGTTCAAAAGCTACACCTAGAAGTTTTCAGAAGACAGTGAGAAAGGTTTCTAGTGATATATTCGCCATATACTCTTGAGACAACAATCGTGTCAAATACTTTGCTCTGTTCGTATCATATGCTACTATTCACCAACCACTAGCCTTGATGTCTTCATTAGTTCATTACTCTGCACTGTAGAATTTTAATAACCAATAACTACATATAACTATGAAAAGACAGAACTCCAAATTATAGCACATTATAAAGCCTGATTCCCTTACATATAATAGCAGTAATATTTAAACCACTTTGCAAACAAAGAATTGTTTGGAAGTCAAACCCAATACTAGAGGATCTTTCTTTTCTTAGTGGTCCTTGGGTTTCGAGTCAAAGAGATTTTTTGACTCCACCATAAAAGTATTTCTGAGTTTCACAGAAAGAAGAAGAGTAGGTACTAATTAATAATAGTCAAGTAAATCTTATAAAATAAAAAACATTTAAGACTTTTATTTATGATATTAAAGCGTCGAAGAATCAGTACTAAAGTTATTTAACAAAATCTGGAAAATATTAAAAAAGAAAATAAATAATATAAAGAAAAGGCTCCAAACCTTTGACACATGTTGGTTTGCTGATAGCTGACTTTGATCCTAATCCTAACTGACCCCAGTTGTTACTGCCAAACATATAAAGTTTATTATTTCCTAGTGGGAGGGAAAAAGAAATAACAAATTAAAGAAATCTTCACATAGATAACAATATATGAATGAATCACAAGGAAACAAAAAAACATACATTTTTAAAAATATCAGAAGAAATAGGAGTGGGTTACCTTTTCTGTCCATGTATGGGCACATCCCATTCGGTGTAAAGAGTTTTTAAGATTATATGTTAACAATTTTTTATTGCAATGAAACAGATTCCAAAGAAGTTTCACATGTAGAAAAACATTAACGTTTATTAAAGTAACTTAAAATTGAAAAGACTCTTAAAATGATGCATAAAGTATTTTCTGACAAATATAAAGCACTTTCTATACATTTTCAATATGTTTAACACATGATAAAGCCTGTTCTCTCCATATACCAAAACAGTAATATTTAAGTCATTTTTTTAAAAAAAGCAAAAATATGGTCAAATGTAATGCTATAAGATCATTATTCCCTTTGATGCTCCTGGCTTCCAAATCAATGACATTTTTAGTCACAAAACAAATCTATTATAGGCAATAAAAATAGATGTTTAAAATGTATCTGTCAGTTTTGAAGCAGGTTACCTTGTCGTTCTATATATGAGTGGATTCTATTAAGCATAAAAAGTTCCTAACATCAGGCAGCAACAATTTTTATTAAACATCATACTTATAACATTTAGTATTCTCTAAGAATTACTCTCTTCATCTAGGATTGTAATACTAACCTGTAACAATGGCAGTATGTTCATCGCCACATGAAAGACATATAGGTATGTCATTCTTAAACCAGAATTTGCTAGGGATATTTTCAGCAAATTTAGTTTTTCCAAATGTAAACACAGCACCCGTATCTGCAAATATAAAACAGTTTTCATTTTACAAATTGAACCATGATGCCTGTTATGAAAACACATTTTCCTATTGCATGTATACAAACCGTTTCCCCCACGACAGCTTTGGCTCTGACTTAATATCATTTCAGCCCTTCCTTCTCTCACCTTAATTCAGTCCTATTCCTCAGCCTTCACTTTGTGTGTGTCATCTGTGATGGCTAATTCAAGTGTGTGTTATTCATTCAGTGAGCTGAGGGAAGTGGACACAGTGACAAGGAAAGGCATCACCCATTACAAATTGTTCTGTTGTCACTGGGTGGACAGCCAGTTCCTGGACGAGCTGGTCCAATTTCTGCCTTCTACTCCCTCTGGTAAGGCCTCATAGTCTGGTCCCTGACTGAGGATCTTTTTCCAGACAGAACCATACAGCATTGCGTTTTCTCCCTTAGCATCACAGAAAATTTGTGCAGAGTACCTCTTTAAATGAATTTGGATTTTCTTTAGTTCTTCCAAGGAACTGCCAGTGTTTGCATTCAAGGAAGGAATGGTACTAAAAATATCAAACTGTTGAAAATGCCAGTGGCTATCCATTAAAACTAGGGCAGGGCAGAAACAAACACACTAACTACTGTCTTACTTGCACCATGGCCATATAAGGCTTTAAAAATCAATTATGCACCATACAGCAATCTCTCAAATGACTATCAGAATGTTTATTGATGGGTATTTTCTTTTCTCAACTATATTACTAATAGCATAGCTCTCCTTGCTACTTCTACCCATTGCACAGGGTGCTCCTCTAATAAACACGAGTTACATTGAAGTTGGTTCGAATTTTCACACAGAAAAGTTCCCTTCTCCACTATTTAGGACCGTCTTCATTATCATGTGAATATATTTATGACTGTCTTCATGTCACTATACTGGTGCCTAGGAAGTCAAACAGATGTCAATACTTTTAGTATGAAAGGCAGCAAACCACCCAGGCTTTAACAATGAACACTTAAGCTTTTCCTATTCCTACTGAGAAGAATGAGACTAAAAATCCATGAACAGTTCCCAGTAACTAAACACACACACACCCCAAATAGAAAGACAGACCGGGACCATTTTCAAAAGACTAAAAGTCCATGAACAGTTCCCAGTTCCCCGTAACTACTTAATCTCCACCCCCACCCGCCCCCACACACCCCAAATAGAAAGCCAGACCCAGGTTCTGGGAAATTTTCAGAGAAAGCATAGTGGATGTGCGAGGGCCTAAGCCATTTAAGAACGACTGTCAGGCAAATCAGTTCCAATTTAATAACTGAGCCTTGGGAGGTCAGGGCCTAGAAACGACTCAAGACTTCCCTACAAGGAATCATTTAACTGTTTCATTCTGGCTACCCAGAAAGCTTCTCCAGACAGCCCTCCCCGCGAACCAAAACCAGTATTTGGTAGCTCCATTCTATCCTCTGGCTTCTAATGTCAAGCCTATTGTCACTTTATTTTCCTGTACTCTCACAAAGGTATGAACTCCAGGAAGCATAAACTCAAAACCCCTTTGAGGCAAGAGCATGGCAGAAAGTGCGATACATATTTAAATGTATAATTCTGCTCTAATACAGTGGCTATTTTTCAAAGTGTTAATCGGAACACTTTGTTTCAAAGTGTTAATCGGAATGTATGTGAAAATCAATTCAGTGAACTATGACCACCATTTTAACAGATTACTTAAGAGTTCTACGTTTCAAATAGTTGTAGTTAAGTGCAAGAAATGGCTACCTGTGCTACCCGGTACGGAAGCCATACTGGGTCAGAATTTTAACTTACGTCAAACCAGCGCTTAAGAAGCCCTTTAAAAAAAATCGCTAAAGGGATTGGTCCAGAACGTTTCTTCCATTCTTTTTAACTTCTCACTCCAGGTTCATTCACTCCTTACTGAATTCAGTACCTAAGTGGGTGCTAGGGACATCTCGTTCGCTCGGGTTTAAGTAGAGCCCTTGGAAAGCTTAGCGAGAGACTAACGGCTGCCGCAGCCTCCGAGAAAAGTCACGGAATGCTTACTAAAAACGCAAGGACCCTCTCCCCTGGTTCCCTGTTCCTTCCTCCCGGTCCCAACAAGGCTCTTTATTCGCAGTGGCAAGGTAAGAGCTGCCTTCTAACCACCGCTCAGACTGCGGCCTGCACCCCGCCAGGGCCGGCCTGGAGGCGGGGCCTGGCCTCCCGCCCGCCCGCGGACCCTCCCTCCCTCCCGGCCAGCCGCCGCCATCCGGACGCGACTCACCCGGCACCAGCGACTCAGGCTCCGCCATGCCGAAAACTGTGAAGGGAATCGGTGCCTGCTTCGGAAAGACAGCAGGGGCGACTCGGTTGGGCCTAAGGTATTGCCCTAGCCCCCGGGGGCCCCATCGCGACCCTCTTGGCATCGACCACTACTGTGCTCCCGGAAGTCAACAAACAGACGCTAGGGGCAACGGAGGCGGGGCGTTGAGACGAGGGGCGGGGCGAAAGGTGGTTGGAAGGAGGGATGAGGAAGTGTTGTCACTGCGGCGCGTGTGCGGAAGCCGTGCTCGAGGCGGTAGGTGTCCGCGCGCCCCCTAGCGATCGTGATTGGAAGCGCGGCCACGCCGCACGCTGCGAGGTGTTGGGAGCGCATCTACTTCTGTAGAGATACTGGCCGCAGGGACCAAGAGGGGATAGTGACAGCATAACTTCTGTGACACGCGCAAACGTCAACGCACAGCTTTGAAAACACAAGTAAGTGATAATCTGCAACAGAGCTAGCCACTAAGCGTCTTACATCCCAAATGCCATTTGTATTCTTAGAAATAAAACTAGATACACACATTAGAACATTACTAAATGAATGAATGCTGTTACCATCATGTAAGATCGGTAATGTCACTCCTGTTTGCAGATTTATGCCGATTATACATGGGAAGGGAGGCCCAGTTCTAGTAGTCAATCCTGAAGTCTGAGCAGTCTGCCTGTGTCTCCTATAGAAGACATATATAATTCCCTGTGAAACATTTTATATTTCTGGCTAAACCTTGGTTTCCAGGATGAGAAAATGTATATACCTGTGGTAGTTGGTCTTAACCAAGCAGAACTGGATTTAAGGCTCCCTGAATGACTTCAGAGAGTACTTCTACATTTTCTCAGGGCATTTTTATTAAAATGGAAAGAAGGAATGGAATCCAATCATTTGTATACAAGCTAAAATTGAGGGTGAGGTGCTAGTACAAAAAGAAACTAAAATGGATTAGAGCACTCTGGACAAAGCCAGTTGTATGCAAAAATTCACGGGGAGCTTGGTCTTTCCAGCACCTTGATGAGGCTGACTCGAGATGGCAGCATTTGGGGCATGTTACAGATTCTGAATTTTTTTTCCGAGACAAGGTTTCTCTGTAGCTTGTCCTAGAACTAGCTCTTGTAGACCAGGCTGGCCTCGAACTCACAGAGATCTGCCTGCCTCTGCCTCCCGAGTGCTGGGATTAAAGGCGTGTGCCACCATGGCCCGGCCAGATTCTGAATTTTTCTCCTAAAGACCACAGGAAATCATGATGGAGCTGTGAGCAGTACAATGATAGGAAAAGATCAGTTTCATGTGCTCTTGAAGTCATTCTACCTGACCTGGAAATCTGAGCAATGAGAGAATTAAAGATTATTACAGGTATTTACATACAAAAGTGGTCAGGCAGCTTAGAGTCAGTTGTTTTGGCACACAGGAAATTGAGTCTGATTGTCAACTCCTGGAAAATGCTGAACTATTAAATAATTTACACCACCAACAATCAAAAAGGTAGCTTAACTCATTTTAAGGAGGACCTGATTCCCCCTCAAGTTGTTTAAAGGTCAATAATAATCACAATGAGAAAAATCAGAATATTTAAAGACTTGCTTTGCTTATAATGTGATTTCATTTGCTTTTAAAAATAATTTTCAGCGTATAATAAAGTAAAAGTTGGACTGAGCACTTCCATGCTGGGCTCCAACATAAGTAACTAGGACAGGTGGGCACTATTTACAGAGATGAGAAGGCCAGGGGAGGTGCGAGTTAGGTCAGTGCAGGAATGGAGAAGATAGTGGACTCCGCCTTTGACCACATAGGACAGTGCACTGGAGGCCCTGAGCAGAGCAAGCAGTTGATGAGAAGAAGAGCCAGGTGGAGCCACACATTTATGGAATGCCTGGATAAACATGATCATGACAGTTTAGGGAGCAGGACAAAGAATGAAAGGGAAAGGCAAATGAAGCTAAGATGGGTAAAGAAGGATGTCAAAGTATAATGTCCCAGCAACAGAGAGTCAAGAAAAGTTTGACTGGAGAGGGAGCCTATGGAATAGTGTGCCAACAAAGAGTGAGGTCAAATTGGTCACATGATGTGGCCGTATTAAATAAGGTGAAACAAAAATATCTTCTGAATGCAGCAATCTGATTATTACCTGCTGAAAGGGCGGGTTGGTGGTGGCAATGGCAGAAGAGGCAATATTGGAGTAGGAGGTAGGAGATGCTCAGGGAACAGCATGAACTAGGGCAACAGCATTAGAAACAGTGCGTGCAGGGGAAGAGAGGGAAAGTGGAAGCCACAGAAACAGGGAAGCAAAACTTTCCTCTCACAATATATGATTGATATTTGTGATTCATCTATATATTTATGTAGATTATATCTATATACCATACTATACACACACAAACATGCACACACATATATATAGTCTAGGATATATATACTATATATACTAATATATACTATATACTAAAATATATATATATAATCTACCACACACATATATAGTTCTAACAGTGCTTTAGATCATACATATTCTATATTATCTGTTAATATTCTCTAGTTCTGAAAATCTCATAGAGGTATTAGGTAATGAATGATAAACTGATACTTGAGTGCCTGGAATCAAGTAGCACTTAATACTGTTTGATATTAGCAACAAGACAAAGTTGGCTATGCTCATTGAAAACTCAGGCTGTCTGTGCCATTATAAAAACAACACTCCCATCTCGATGATAGCACAAATGTTTCATTTTTATTCCCACTACACACCCAGCATTACTCAATGACTACACACGTCTCACTGGGTCACACGGAAGCCTGGACTACTGATGGAGGTGTAACTATGTTTTGGCTGCATTAGAAGCATGACCTCCTGGGTTACCACATGAAGGCAAGAGAGTGGGGATAGAAATGCAGTGTTTGGGATCAGAAGAGTTTTTATTTTTATAGTCTACAAGGGTACTGGAAAATGAGGGAGAGACGTTGACCCTTCAACAAGCAGTAAGGGCCTCCTGCATAATCCCCTCAGTTATATTGTTTCAACCCATGAAGTCACCCATTTTCTTCATATTGGAGAGGGTGGAGTGCGTGAGTCTCAGCTTTGCAAACTGTGACTTGTACAATCATACTGGGCCAGGAAACTGAACGTGGAGGGTGACAAGGTGTTCACCAACAGTGAAAAGGTTTTGAACACATAATGACCAAAAGATGATTTAAAGTCAAATGCCTGGTGAACTGAGGTGTTTCTGGCAGCACTCACCTACCCGTGTTGTCTGCTGTGACATTACCACAGGCTAACCCCTGAACACGGGCCCCGTGCACTTTGCACTGAGTATGCGGTCACATGGTGCAGTGCCACCAAACTGCCTGAGAGGCCGCAGCTCAGGCTTCAGGCTGATGTCTGTGATCAACTGCAGGGTTTCGTTGGCCATACAGAAACACGATACATCCATTACTGAAAAAATCTTTTTAATATTTTCTTCATGTCATTCCTCAGCACATAAGCATCAAATTAGTAAATATTTGGATTATGTTGCCCTAGAATATTTGATTTTAAAATTCACTATTTGAATTGGTGACTGGAATTTTATTTTTAAAAAATGATTAAACAAACTTTAGCTTAGGATTAGGATAGACTGTCTAAGAAGTTTTCAAATGGTCTGAAGATATTTCTACCATTTTGAATTGTATATTTATACAAAACAGAATTCTTGGCATTGGTGACTATAAAATCAAAGCATTGATAAATTTTTAAAAATGATAAAAATGCTATGTCCTGAAGTATGAAAAATTAGGTCAAAATTATGTAAAAATAAATGAGCACAACCATATTATTAGTATGAAAATTTACTTTCTTCTTTAATAAATGACAGAATGTTAAGCATATCAAAAATCATCTTAAAATAACTTTCCTTATGATCTATTTTCAGGGAACGATTGACTTGTATGCCTATTTTACCTACTTATAAAACCAGGGTCATGAAAAACTGTCTTGGATGAAAGGGGGTCACAACTGGAAAAGATTAAGAAGCTCTGGACTTAGGTAGAATCATCTAACTCTCAAATGTAGTTATATTCCCTTTTGATGCCCTCTGCGTGCATGGCCCAAACCTCAGATAATCTGCAGTCGCCACACATCTGGAAAAATGTACAGCTCTTGACTGTTCACTGTCTTACTTCTAGCTGTGCGTGATTGCTGCAGTCTAAAAACAGAAGCATGTATGAACAAGGAGGACATTGAATGGCCAGTGTTACCTCGCTGAATTTCATTTCTTACTTGCTAGCATTCAATAAAACTTCCAAGGTTTGCATTTCAAGGCACATTACAATCCAGCTAGCTGCCTTCACTCTTTCTCAGTTTGCAGGAGCATAAACGAGCATGTCTGTACTTTGTGAACTGCATTGTGGGGTTCCATAAACAGCCAAACTCACAGGATAGATTCTGATGATCTATTTGATTTCTGAATTTTAATACTAGAATAATATATAATAAGAAAAACCAAAAACTAACACATTGAAATTGGACAAAATCAATAAAGAGAAGGAAAAGAAGCCAAGAGAAGGCACAAGATACAGAGACCCACTTGTTCACATACTCGGGAATCTTGTAAAACACTAACCTATAAACCATAATATACATGGAAAGGCCCTGTGCAGGCAGGCCCTGGGACTTCTTCAGTCTCTGTGTACTCACACAGGATTTGATCATATCACTTTAGAGGGCCATGTTTTCCTGGCATTCTTCGTTCCTTCAGGCTCTTTCTGTCTTCTCTTCTTTAGGGTTCCCTGAGCTCTGGAGGGGGCAATTTGATGGAGACATTCCACTTAGGGCTGATTGTTCCAAAGACTCCCACTCTCTGTATAATGTGTTTGTTCCCATATGCAGCAGGATGGAGCTGCTC